TAGCGGACTCCCAGTGAAAAGAGCTTCAACGGATTATTTTTTATTCATTTCAGCAAACTACAGGCCTCGGCAAAAACACTATCGCCGGGACTCGTGTGATATCACTGTTATGAAAGAATCCTGTTACAGATGGGAATTAAGTTTTCGTACCCTGTAACTAATAATTAACGAATGGAACATTCTTCTTAAAAAACAAAAAGAATTACCAGCTACCTATTTATCAAGAGTATCCCTTTTCTTTACGAGTGATATCCCCCGCCCCCGCCCCTCCCACCTTTTTCTTCCTTTTTTTCTAGCTTCACAGTTTCATAGAGATTGGGTAAACATGATTTGAGATGCACATGTTATAGATCTGCGGTAGATCTAACGTTCGGAGCCTACTTTTCATTCCATTTTTTTCCTCCTAAAACAATTCTCCCCACCACATCAGGAGATAGGATGACGATGTGGTACCAAACTTTGGCCATGCGAAGTCACTTACTGAATTTTCATAAACGCCAAAGTGAACCCAGCTTTCCCCCCAAGCCCACACACACACATACACTGTACATGTACACGATATGACACATCATGAATTGTGTCACAATCAACTTAGCCTACCGTAGGTCATGTAAGTCCACTTCACCGTAAATGTTATCTGTTGCCTTGCTTCCTTTGCTTTTACCTGCCGTCTTGTCGATTTGTTTTAGTTGGGATTTTGTCAATGATTGGACCATTGTTATAGCCGAACATGTCTGTCCGAATGCTTGCTATAAATAACCTTTTATTATAGATTATAAAAGGTCGGATTTATGGATTTCCTGCCCTGGCCGGAATCCTGATATAACCTTTGACTGATATAAATGGGGGTCACGTTACCTCGTCTTTATCAAACAAATATGCGAGGGACTCGGGTCCAACGTAACAGTTTGCCCTATCAGGTGACCCAAGCGTTGATTCCTAGCGCAGTTTTCCAACATGAATGAACCCAAACAAATCTTATCTAAGCCACTGACGATCGGTCGACGGGGTGATGTGAGAGGGGGGGGGGGGCATTGC